CAAATGAAGGTAATGTATGGGGGCAGCTGTGGCTCAGGAGGTAGAGCGGGTCGTTTCCTAACTGGAGGATTAGCGGTTTGATTCCCGGCTTGTACAGTCAACATGTCGAAGTGTCCTTGAGCAAGACACTGAACCCCCAGTTGCTCCCCGTGATGTCACCGGTGTGTGAATGTGTGAGTGTTTGGGAGTGCGAATGGGTGAGTGGCCAAATAGTGTGAAAGCGCTTTGAGTGTGCTGTAAAGCATAGAAAGGCGCTATATAAATATAAGACCATTTACCATATTACTTGTGTGTAACATGTTATCGCCCAACTTAATAAAATGTACATAATCTGAAATACAAACCTGTATTGCATAAACAGGGGAAAAGTGTGTCATAATGAGCAAGTATGGTGGCATTTTAATGGTAAAATGTAATATTTTTACTTCACCTTTTTCTCTTAAACTTGAATATTCCCTCCTAAGACATAAATAAATTGAGAATGGACTCATATTTTTTCCTAAAAAAAGCATAGTTGCCTTGTTAAAACTATACTGACATTTACACTTTCTCCCTTATTCAAAAATTCATACTAAGAATGTGTTATGTTCGCACACCACCCAAGGTGGTGTGACAGAGAGATGGACTCAGAGAGCTGACTTCAACATAAGCAGTGTTTAATTTCTTTAGTGCTGTACATGGCAAGGCATGCAATGACGTGACAAAATACTGAAAATATGAATAGGAGAAGATGGTATGGGTGTCGACCGCAGGATGGTAAGATCAGGGTAGTAGCTGGGCCGAGCTGCGGAGCGTGAAGATCACTCACTGGCTGGTTGTGTAAAGTTGGTTGAAGCTGAAGAAAAGGGATAAGGCAGAAGGGACAATGAGTAGAAGGGAATGGAGAGCACTGACCTGGATGGTGAATGATTGACTGATGACCCATGGATAAAGCTGCAGCCACCTCGGAGGACCTTTCTGTCAGCATACAGGATTATGCTGAGTGTGTGACCGGGTACATTAGTACCTGTATCGACAACATTGTGCCCACCATACAAGTCAGGAGGTTCCCCAACCAGAAGCCCTGGATAAACAGTCAGGTACGCCACATGCTACGTGCTCGCTCTCATACATTCGGATAAGGCGATAAGACGGAGGACAAAGCTGCGAAGTACAGACTAAGGAAAGACATCACAGTGGCCAAGAGGCAGTACAGAGAGAAGCTGAAGGGCTTCTATTCTACTGCTGACTCTGGACGGATGTGGCAAGGCCTGCAGCACATCACAGACTACAGGACCACCACCGGCACCATCAGCTCCACAGACAGCCTGCCAGATGACCTCAACACCTTCTACGTCCGCTTTGAGACCTCCAGCTACAGCACAGAGAGGAAGCATGCACACACCGAGACCACCCAACTCCCCTCCACTAACTGTCTCACCAGACCAGGTACGCACAGTCCTGAGGAAGATCGACCCCTGCAAAGCAGCAGGACTGGACAACATCCCTGGGAGGCCTCTCAGGGCATGTGCCAACGAGCTGACTGATGTTCTCACCACCATCTTCAATGTCTTCCTCAGCCAGAGCATCGTTCCCACCTGCTTTAAGACCACAACCCTCGTCCCCCTTCCTAAGAAGAGCCTGGTCACCTGCCTGAACGACTACAGGCCAGTGGCATTCACCCCAATCATTATAAAGTGTTTTGAGAGAGTAATGCTAGCTCATATCCAGACCAGTATAATGGAAACCCTGGACACCCTCCAGTATGCCTACCGGCCCAACAGACCCACCTCAGATGCTATCGTGGCTGCCTTCCACTATTCCCTTTCTCACCTGGAAAATAGAGACTCCTACATCAGGATACTCTTCATTGACTACAGCTCCGCCTTGAACACAGTTATCCCCCACAAACTCACCCACAAACTGTCCACACTGGGTCTGTACCCCACCCTCTGTGACTGGCTCCTGGACTTTCTGACTGGCAGGCCCCAAGACTGTCAGGATTGGCAATAGGACTTCAGCCAGCATTATCGCGAACATCGGCACCCCACAGGGATATGTCCTCAGTTCCATCCTCTACACCCTGTTGTCATGGTACAAGGACAATAATCTCAGCCTCAACACGGACAAGACGAAGGAGATGATAGTGGAGATGAGGAAGGAGAGGAGATCTCATCCGCCACTGTTCATCCAGGGGCTCGAAGTGGAGAGGGTGAGCAGCTTCAAATAGCTGGGCGTCCACATCAGTGAGGACCTCACTTGGACACTTAACACCACACAGCTGGTCAAGAAGGCCTAACAGCGACTGTACTTCCTGAGGATGCTGAGGAGGTTTGGCATGTCGCCTAGGATCCTTTGCAACTTCTACAGCTGCATCACTGAGAGCATCTTGACCAGCTGCATTGCCATCTGGTAAGGCAGCACTACTGCTATGGACTGCAAGCGCCTGCAGAGAGTGGTAAAGACCACGGGGAAGATCACTAGGACTCCACTGCCCTCTCTGCAGAGCATTTATCACTGCAGGGTGTGTTGGAAAGCTGCCTCCATCCTCAAAGACCCCACCCACCCCCAGCACGGACTGTTTATACCCCTACCCTCTGGTCGGAGGCTCAGAAGTGTGAAATGCAGGACCACTAGACTGAAAAACTCTTTCTTTCCCTCTGCCATCAGACTCCTAAACAGCTGACTCAGGATCTACCTCATGTAATCCCATCTGTACTGTTTACATACTCAGTTTGCACATGCACAATTGCACACTCACTGCTGAGTATTTACACTCCACAGCTCCCATGTAGCATATATTCCCTCTGCTTTATATTGTGTTATTGTTGTATTTTTATTTGCTCCCTTCACTTGCTGCTTTAAAGTGCCCTAGATTTGTGTTACTGCCTATTTAGATTTGTGTTATTGCTCATCTACTTTATATTTCACTTGTATTATGTGGCATTCATATGGATAATAAAGTAAGGTTTTAATTGTACAGGGAAACACGTTTCCTAACTGTGCATGTGACAAATAAACACTTTGACGTTTAATGATAGGCCTATTGTATAATAAGATATGAAGATCTGAGTGTATGTGGGGAACAATAATAATACGATTTATTTTGCTGCTTACTTAGTAACAAATATTTCGTGTTAAATGCAAATTAAATTCTTCAGATGCCATGGGACCTGGCAATTATTTTGAAAGTACAACCGGAACAGTATGTTCAGTCGGCACACTTTGCAGAAGTTGGTGTTGATCGCTGCTTACAGGAATTTGGCACATAGACCCGTTTATTGACGGAAGGCCTAAGTTTGCTCTTGAGAAGTCTGGATAGAGACAACGAGCAATGAAAAACCGTCCGTGGAAAGGTTTATTGTCAGTAGCGTTACCTCGCAGAATGTCAAACATGTTCACTGCGTTCATTGTCGGCCTTATTTTTTGGTCCCTCCAAAGCAGCGTTGGTAAGTCTTTTCTTAGCTAGCATGCTAACGCTTCTCGATTTGTATTTCAGAGCGGTGTTTATTTGGCTAACTTTTCCAAAGAAGACAGATTGTAATTACACCTAGCTAATCTATAGTTGTAACGTTAGCTGTTAGTGTCTCTACCAGTGTACTGTAGATTTAAATTTGTCATATCATCCTTTCTTGGTTACGTTGGTGGCGTATTAGCTTGTTGTCGAATCAAGTGCTAAACGCATTCTTAGTATCTTGCCACTCGGCAATAGATGTGTAACGTTAACTAACTGATGCATGTTAATACAGCTGGTGTAATAGCTGATGAGGCAGCTTGATATTTCGAAAGCAAAAAATCTCAGTTATGTCAACAGCCAGCAGTGTGTTATGAGGACGAAGACAGCTTTTTTTAAAAGCCAAAAGAACAGATATCAGTCAACGCCAGCTCAGAATTATTTACGTTAGTTAGGCTTGCTAACATTCATGTTCTTTTATTGCTTTTATTTGTTTTTGAACTTGGACCTTGAGTCTGTAATAAAGTGTCATGTCATGTCAGAGCCACATCCAGTAGGAGCTAATAAGAATCCGAATACACGAAGCATACAAAGTTGTGAAATGTCGTCACTAGGTATGCTCAACGAAACGGAAGCTACTTATTCTGTGTGGTTTGTCCTTCCTCTGTGAAATGCAGTTAAAAGAATAATAATCACAATAATTTTGTCATGTAATGGAGTGCACAGTTGAAATGCAAAGGAAGCAGATAAAAAATGATCGGGGAGTGCCCAGAATCAAGGTCTGAAACTAGCTTTTTGACTCATCGGCCAAACTTTTTTTTGGACCGACCAAAATAATACAGTTCCTTTTTGTGCCACATATACATTTGTTTTGGAAATTCACTGAGATAAGGGATTATGCTGAATACAAATGTAAAGAGCAAACTCTGAAGCAAAATTAGTTTTAGCATATCAATAAGCAGTTAATAAATTCATTTTTGAAATACAATTTAAATGCCACAATACAACTCAAGAAGACTTCATTGCAAAATTCTACTTAACATGCAGTATGTGCTGCTAAGTGGTATTTCAGTATGTGCTATTGAGTGTATTGAGCGGTAAACCCTGTACTTATCTGAACCATCACCAAGAATAGCCTGACTACGGACCATCCTGCTCTGTTTTTCCCACTGTATTTTCCCTCTGTCGAGATTGGGGGAGGGCTGCTCCTCTCTCACACATGCAGTCAGCTCTGTGTTTACACATGGTGCTTGTAATGCTTTATGCTTGAGGTGTGAAGACTCAGAGATTTAACCATTCACAGGCGACTGGTCTGAACAGGGGCATAGTAGGGGTGGGTCTTCACTGAATACATGTGTTTCAAACTCCAACAGACAGAAGCAGGACACCCATAATATAGACAAGATACCGTTTTATCACATGAATAGCCTATTTTGTTGGAAATATTTACCCGCCAGTGTGGTTGGTAGTCTTCTGAGATTAACTTGCCAGTCTACCAATAAAATCGACCTGCATTTGGCACCTGGTGGGTGTTAAATTCGGACCCTGTCCAGTATGCAGTGTGATATGAAACAGTATGAAAATGTAATATCATGATTATAGTGACTACAATTATCACTAATATGTTATCATTATTATCATGTTATTGTTAAAATATGCTGAAAATGTTCAGCTGGTGGAACTGAGTCAGGTTTGGAGGCCTCCTTGCTTGCACATGCTTTTTCATTTCTACCCACAGAGTTTCTATTGGACTGAGGTCAGGGCTTTATGATGGTGTCTCCAGTACCTCAACTTTGTTGCCCTTAAGCCATTCTGCCACAGCGTTGGGCGTCTGCTTGGCATCATTGTCCATTTGGACAAGACCCATTTGTGACCAGGCTTCAACTTCCTGGCTGATGTCTTGAGATGTTGATTCAATATATCCACATCATCTTCCTTCCTCATGATGCCATCTGTTTTGTGAAGTGCCCCGGTCCCTCTTGCAGCAAAGCCCCCCCACAACATGATGCTGCCACCTCCGTGCTTCACGGTTGGGATGGTGGTCTTCAGTTTGCAAGTCTCTCCTCCAGGCATAACGATAGTCATTATGGCTAAACAGTTCAATTTTTGTTTCATTAGACCAGAGAAGATTTCTCCCAAACGGCAGATCTTTGTCCCCATGTGCAGCTACAAACCGTAGTTGGCCTTTTTTATGGCGTCTTGGAGCCAAGGCTTCTTCCTTGCTGAGCAGCCTTTCAGGTTATGCCAACATCAGACTGGTTTTACTGTGGCTATGGATACCATGGTACCTGTTTTCTCCGGTGTCTTCACACAGTCCTTTGCTGTTGTTCTGGGATTGATTTGTACTTTTCAGATCAAACTCCATTCATCTCTAGGAGGCAGAACACACCTCCTTCCTGAGTGGTGCGATGCTGCGTTGTCCCATGGCGTATATACCTGGTGTAGTATTGTTTGTACAGATGAACATGGAACCTTCAGGTGTTTTGAAATTGCTTCCAAGGATCAAAAAACTTGTCCACAGTTTTTTTTTTTCTGAGGTCTTGGCTGATTTCTTTTGATTTTCCCATGATGTCAAACAAAGAGCTCCTGAGTTTGAAGGTAGGTCTTAAAATACACCAGTTACAGGTGCACCTCCTACTGACTCGGATGACGTCAGTTAGCCAATCAGAAGCTTCTAAACCCATGGCATCAGTTTCTGAAATCTTCCAAGGCACAGTCAGCTGAATGTATAGAAACTTCTGACACCCTGGAATTGTGATATAGTGAATTATAAGTGGATTAATCTCTCTGTAAACAACTATTGGAAAAGTTGCTCGTGTCATGCCTAAAGTACATGTCCTAACCAACTTGCCAAACGTGTTTGTTAACATGGTATCAGTTTTAATGACTTCAACCTAAGTAAACCTTTCAGTTTAACTGCATGTGTGAGATTGAGTAGTGGTCTTGCCATGACATAGTTTGCCTTTCAGAGAGCTCTGACAAGTTGATTTTTCATATGTAAACACTTGTATTTTAATCCTAATACTTTGATAGCCAAACTTCAAGGAACTTATCAGCGGTGTTTTCTTATGTCATGTATTTGTTAAAATATAAATACTGTCTAGGTATTTGATTTTACAACTCTTTGTGGACTCCATGTATAGGTTTCTAAACATTAGAATTGTTGATAATAATGAGCCAGACAACTCAGAGTAAGTGTCATATTTCCTTCTTACTGTAGACTGAGGTATTTTGTTAGCAGTTGTCAACAACATCTCTTTGATCAGATTTGTCACTGCTCATCTACTTTATATTTCACTTGTATTGTGTAGCATTCATGTGGACGGCAAAGTAAGAATTTCATTGTACAGGGAAACGCGTTTCCTAACTGTGCATATGACAAACACTTTGACCTTGGTCTGTCTGTTTATAGTCCAGGGTGGTGTGGTAGGTTCTGAGTCTTCTGAAGATGTTGAGAATGAAATATTAGGGTTTCAGTTGGCATGGAATGAAATTTGTGTGACTTAAGTGGCACTGTGGCTGAGAGAATGTCATGAGACTTGCAGAAGTAAAGGAATAAGAGGAACTGAGTCATTGAGGAAAGTATTGAGTAACTTCATCAGCCAAAATGCTCAGGAGTTCACTGAGACCTAGCAAGCTGGGACACATACACAAACCCACACAGACAGCACTGAGAGGAGCCACCCTCCCCAAAACATCATTTATGCTTCACTCAAATATGTCCTGTGTTAGTCATGCATTCTGTGCTTGGTCATGTGCTGATGAGTTTTCCCCTTTTTTGAATTTGGTGGTGGTGGTGAGTTGCTTCAGTTCCCAATGTTCTTTCACTACATACAAAGAAATTTCTTACTGTGCACACAGGTGTCTGAAATCACAGCTAAAAATATTCACAGTTCTGCTTTTTCTTTTTGTTCCTCTTTGTTGAGTTCAGTGTTTCACAGTGTGCGTGTCAGATTTAGTGTGACTTTAGAGCACGGTTTGTCTTTGCTGAAGTCTCATCAAATGCTGTATTATACAAAGATAAAATTATTCCCCTTTTGATTTTCTTAAGGTGAGCATTAATGTGCTTGTTTATGTATTCACAGTTTTGGGCATCACTGGCCTTCCAATTGCCAGAGTTGTCTTTTTAAAATATCATTTGAAAGTTTTTCTCTCAAAACCAAAAACTGTATAAAATGTCTTTAATGTACTCTTGTCTTCCAAGTACACAGTAAAAGTTAACTTATCATATTTACAGGCACATTTTGGGGAAAAAAACCCATGTTTCTTCTCATGCTGTAGGGCAAAGTATTGCAGCATCATGTCAAGTGTTGTCCAGTTTGTCGCAACAGGTTTTGTTGTTGTCAAGATTTCAATCAAGTTTCACACTGGCACAAATTCTGTTTTCATGTTGTGTAATGCTGTGGCTCTTTTACTGTAACAACCTCTACCAAAATATTTAAGGGAAGGGTCTGGTAATAGTTGTACTTTTTTATTGTCAGCATGACACATTAGTAAGGTGTGAATAAGTTCTGCATAAAAACTGCAATGACCGTATGTTTTAGGAAATTACTTCTTAAAAATCAAAACTAAATGCACAGAGTGATCAGTTTATAGAGTGCCGTATGGATGATATATCCTTGTAGGCCAACCTGGAGGTTTGCATCACCCTGGTTCCCTCGACAAAAAGCCAATGGGATTTTTCCTATAGGTTTCTGGATTAATGTGGGAAAATAAGTTCTGTGACAAACAACAGTTGATGACACTTTTGTTCAGCAAGATAATCTTCACAAGTGAACACCGCTTTTGTTTTTGAAGCACAAATGCAATCACCAGAAGTAAAAAGCTGTTGTTAGGCTTTAAATGAACTACACCAGGGTCCCATGACTTCGTCACCACCACAGCTTCTAACTTGTAATTGGGTTCAGCGCACTTACCCTCATCTACAAAATCCTTTCCCCTTAGAGTGAGCTGATCTAACTAGTGATCATGGTTGTGTCAAAACAACAAGTGCATGAGTTTAAAGATAATGAGGCTGTAAAGGTAGGCTAGTAAGTAGATTGGTCTCTTTGTTCAGCATGATGACATTTAATATCCCAGACAGCTTTTGTATTCTAATTTAATCATGTTAGCAACCGCATGCTAGCCTTTTTTAAGACACACAAAAGCATTTTTTAGAACAAAATGTGAAAATATATTGGCCTTGTGTTAACTGCAGCCCTTATTTCAGGCGTTTATACAAAAACACATTCAAAAATCCACCAGACTTAAGGGCAAGGGCACCAGAAGTGCAGAAATGCTGACTCAGTTCTGGGTCTTAGGACTCACTACTGTGGCGCTCATTTAGATACACCAAACTAATTTAATCCAGCCTAATCCAACAGTCCTGCAGGTGATAATGTTCAGTTTTTGTTCAAACAGTTTTATAGAGATGTTGATTCAACTTTATGGTCATTTTGTTGACTTTGAACTCTATTATACAGAGAGTTGTTGCTATTTTTGGCCTGCCCTCATTGATAGTGTAGGTCAGGTCAGTATAATAATCATTTTCTTGAATAATGGATTGCTTACTGTATTTAGATTGTGAGACAAAAATGAAAAAGGCTTCTCACAGTTTTCCAGGTTAACATTATCAGATGTTTTTGGAATATTATCAAAATTTTTACTTTATTTTCTGTCGGTAAGTTTAGTTGAACTTTATTCTACTATTTAACAATACACTCACATTATTTTTTAATCAATCTTCTCCCACAAATCCACTTCTGAACCATAGATTCATTGATTTTGAATTCTTTCGCAGCTGCTCTATTCCCATTTACAACCGCGTAACTGATAGCCTGTAGTTTGAATTGTGCCTCGTAAGCATGTCTCTTCACTGGTGCCATTTTCAGGGGTTCTTAGACCGGTTTAGACTGGTTTATCACTGCCAGCGTACGTAGTGTACGTATTACGTCCCTGTGTCAGCGGGAAATGGTCCGACAGTCAATCAAGCGGAGCGCTTACCAAAGTCGCAGAACAACATTTTTACAGATTTTGGAACTCAGTGCACACATAAGGCGCACTGGATTATCAGGCGCACGGCCGATTTTTGAGAAAATTTAAGGCTCTTAGGTGCGCCTTATAGTGCGGAAAATACGGTAATCTGTTAGTTTAGAATTTTTATCTAACAAATATTTGACATTTCTCCAGCATTTAGCATCAACTGTGTTGCCATGTGGGTTTAGGTCTGCCTTTGTTTGTTTCAGCTGGAGCAGGGCTGGCCCCACCACAGGACTTGATCATGATTACCTTGAACACCAATTACACACTGACTTGGGACTGGGACCAGAATTCTGCAGAGAGTCACGCTGTCAACTTCACCACGCAATATGTCGGGTAGGTTTCACTCACTTGTGCATACAAGCAGTGTGGCTCCAAGGAGGGCTGTTTTAGTCAGTCCACCACTTTGGTCAGAAATGCAATATTTCAACAACTGTTGGCCAGAATGCCAAGATGTTGGGTAGAGACATTTATTTCCCACAGGAGAAATAATTACTTTTACAACACCTGAGAGAGACGTGTGTGATTGTAAACTCTTCACTTAGTTTGTTCAGTTCAGTCGAGCTCTGACTGGAGATTGAGAAAACATCTTAAGGTTTGATGGCATCAGTTAATGCACCCAAGAGTCTTTCACCCAGAGTCATTCCTTGTATTTTTTCCTCCTTTTGAAATTAAGGACGTCTACTTCACGACAGTTACCATGATAAGTGCCCTGCATTTTCTTTTTTGTCATTGATCCAGGAAGTACAAGCTGAAGTACAAGCTGAATTCCAAGAAGAAGAGTCCAGACTGGTCGACAGCCTGTGAAGAGATGTCACGGAGATCATGTGATCTTACAGTGTTCAACCTTCACTACCTGAGCATCTATGTGCTTCGTGTACGAGCCAATGTAAATGGGCATCACTCTGACTGGGTGCAGAAAGAATTCTGCCCTGATAAAGATGGTGAGAGAAAGAGGGGATGAGAGATGAGTGAAAGGAGAGTGCGACAGTGGGTAAAGGACAGAATGAGTTAACAGGAAACAAGCCTATGGCAGCATGTGTTCTCAGATGGTTAACCGCAAGTCATCAAAAAAAAAAACAAAAAAACACGATTGATAGAGAAGACTGAAAAGCAACCGAACAAAAAGCATGCAAGCTGTGCACAAAGCTGTGGGAACATGCTTCAAGTGTGTGGGGATGGCGTGTTTTGGGGGGAGCTTCATAAACACATCTGTGTCCTGAAGCTCAAAATGTTTCCGTTTTTGGTGAAATTGTCAAATGTATAAATTCAGTTGTTTAATATTGAGGTCATAGTACTGGACTATATTATTTTCAGAGGTGTGTCTATATTTTTTGTCCTTTCCAGCTACATTCATGAGAGGGTCAGAATATTAGGAACACCTGTGAATATAATGTACTCCAGTACCACACCACCTTTAACTATATAGAAGCAAGCTTGTGACCAGAGGGTTGCTGGTTCAGTCCTTGGCTTGTGCAGGTGACAAAGCAATGCTTGCTTCACCCACATTAACACTGTGATTCCTTGAGGAAGGCACTTAACCAAAAGGTAAGTAAAGATTAAAGATATATACTGTGTATATATTCATGTAATGCCCACTATGCAGCAACCGACACAGTGGCCTTGTATCCTACTGTGATGTTTTTTTTCCTCAAACACGCAATACTAAGTAGTAGCTCTAACACCTAACCCATCATAGTTATACTGTCTGAAAGAGCACAAATTTGTCCATCATTTCATGTTTTTTTTTTTTTTTTTTTTTTTTTTTTTTCTTGTTGGTCTCACTTCACCTCTCTGTTCATTGCTTGCAGCCACAATGCGAAGGTCGTTGGGAAGTCGAGGTAGACGCGGGCTCCGTGTTTTGAGTAGCTGTATTAGTGAGTACAGTGTTACTAGAAACCCTTTTTTCCCTCCTATTTAGTCTACTTCAGTCCTGTTGGCACAACCATACAAGTGCACACACTGATTAAACCTAAAATTGTGGAGAAAGTGTAGGTCTCAGTTTCTGAATTGTATACACGCACCCAGAGAGAAAACATACAATATGTTTGGGCTTGTTAGGATTCTGACTGATACGGCACACCTTCAGGGTATCATTCATGTTTGGGATACACTTTATGAGAGTGGGCCTGTTTCAGCCTACCTCTAATCATTTTGAGGAGGATGTGAAGTGTCAGGTTACTGGCCAAGTAAAACACTTGTGTTGGCATGACTAGACCAACTAATGGTTATTTGACAAACTCGGTGCATGTTTAAGAAAATCCTGTTTGTAAATAAATGGGCTACCCCCCCTCCCCCTCCCCAAAAGCTTCAAAAACGATGGATTAACATTGGATTCAGATTTCTTATTTGCATAAGAAAGGAGGAAACACTTTCAGGATTTTCCCTTTATTTACTTAATACAGGTGACAGAAATCCCTTTCAGGCAGCAAGTGATGGATCAAAATGTCAGAATAAATAATTGCATACTAAAATAGCCTAAATAAATGATCATAGGATTTTTAAAAATATGAATTAAAGCTTAAATATTGCCTTTACTTTACAGCTTTGTCATGACTGTCTGAAATGTAAAAATGCTGCATCAGTTCGACTATGACTAAAGGTAAACAGACCAAGCCCCTTTTACGCTGCAGTGACTGTTTTTCTGTCAATATGGGGTGCTGTGTGTACATTAATGAGGAAAAAAATGAACTTAAATGATTTTAGCATATGGCTGCAATATAACAGAGTGAAAAATTTAAGGGGGTCTGAATACTTTCCGTACTCATTGTATACCCGTAGGTAAATTTGTCTTGTAGTCAGATCAAATGACATCCTTGACACATTCACAAAATACAAGAATAAAATACAATAACATAAAACCTGGCACCTACACCAAAAGTAATAAAAAGTACTCAGGGCTCCACCAATCAAGACATAAAAGAAAGAAAACATCTGAAGAAAACCTAAAATTACTTGCAATATATTACTACAGCCTATTTAACTCTATAACAGCAGCAGGGACAATACTATTTCTATAACGCTGCGTTTTACATCTCGGGACGACAAACCTTCGTCCAGAAGGAAGAAGCCGAAAGTGGCAGTGCAAGGGATGGGAGTCATCATTCAGAATAGAAGTAACCACCCTCTGTACCTGTCTACTGTACAGGGCTGCTAAACTTAACTGTGACTCCCCAAGCAAGCGACTAGATCACTTAATTACTTGCTCCAAGGATTTCCTCTGTCTTAACGTTATCTGACCAAACCATGATACTAGCGAAAACGATAAAATAGATTCAATAAAAGCTCGATAAAACATATTCATTAAGGTTCGGTCAGTATGAAAATATGCCAGTTTCCTTAAGCAATGCAGACGTTGCTGACCCTTTTTACATACCATTTCACAGTTCTCTTCAAAACTCAATTTGCTGTCAATGATTGTCCCCAGATATTTGTATGTTTGCACATATTCAATAGTCTGCCCCTTAATTAAATTGACTTCGTGCCTATGAGGTTTCCTCCTAAAATCTATGAGCATATCTTTACTTTTTGTTGTATTTAGTTGCAGATAGGATTCCTCACACCAATGGACAAAATCCTCAATGACTGAACCATGGCTACTTTCACCATCACTGAGGAGACTAACAATAACTGAGTCATCAGCATACTTTATAATAGTTCTATTGTCACATCTACTCTGACACATATTTGTGTAGAGAATAAAAAGTAAAGGTAACAACACACACCCTTGAGGAGAACCAGTGGAAGAACCCCTCTGGTCAGATAATATGCAGTTGACCCTTACTCTCTGTCCTGTTGATTAAAAAAATCCAAAATCCAAACTACCAGATTATTACTCAAATCAAATTGTTGTAGAAGCCTTTCAATTAAAATGTGAGGCTGTATTGTATTAAAAGAAAAAGACAAATCCACAAATAAAAGCCTGGTGTGTGTCCCACTTTGATCCAGATGCCTAAAAAGCATATTGGGCAGAGTAATTGTGGCATCCTCCACTCCTCTGTGAGGCCTATATGCAAACCGCAAAGGATCCAGCACATGTTCAGTCTGCCTCAGGATCTCCGATTTGACCAGCCTTTCAAAAATCTTCATTAAAACTGAAGTCAGAGCGACTGGTCTAAAATCATTCAGAGTTGCCGAACAGCTGGATTTAGGAACAGGGACAACAACAGCAGCCTTCCAGAGCCTAGGTACATATTGTGTCTGGAGAGACTTATTAAAAATATACTGAAACACAGGACTCAGTTCATGTGCACAAGGATATATTAGGATATATTTTGACATGCTTATATGGGATAATCATATCCCTCCAAAAGGTCATGTAAGAACATGTCACATCCACCAATGAGACCAGATCTTCCCTGCAGGACTGCCTGAACATATCCCAGTCTGTGCAATTAAAACATTCCTGAAGGCAGAGCACCGATTCATCTGTCCATACCTTTATGTCCCTGGTCTTTGTCTTTTCTCTTATTAAAACAGTTTTATATGTGGGCAACAAATGCACACAGTTATGATTAGAGGAGCCCAAGGGAGGGAGGGGAAGGGAAGCCCCCTTTATTGATCCATAACAAAAGTCCAGTGTCTTTGGACAGGAGACATTCTGATAAAAGTTTTTAAGTGTCTTTTTCAAAGACAGATGGTTAAAATCCCAGAGAATAAAATTTGGAGCCTCCGGTGAAATCGACTGCAGCCTCTGTACTACATCAAAGATGGTACTGGAGGCAGAAGCAGCATCCGCCTTTGGGTGAATATACACAGTCGTTATAAAAAGTTGAGGAAACTCCAGAGGTAAATAAAAAGGATGCAGCGAGACAGACAGGAGTTCCACATCCGGGGTACAGATGCATTCCCTGACCATCACCGATGTACAGTACCGTTTGTTGACATATAAACATACTCCGCCTTCCTGGCGTTTTCCTGTTACCTGTGCCTGCCGGTCCAAACGAAAAGGTGTTCCGTCCATCCAGAGGTCCGGGTCACCGTCATGCTCAGTAAGCCACAACTCAGAGTACGCCATGACACAGTAATCCTTAAAATCCTTTCGGTGTCGGATATTACTCTGGATTTCATCCACCTTGTTTCTCAGGGATTGCACATTCCCCATAATAACAGTGGGAAGAGGGATGCGGTTAAGATGGTGCTTCCTCAGGGGTACTTTCACGCCTCCCCGAGCCTTGTCAAAGTCTCTCATATCCTTATGCTTTTCCAACACATCACCTTCGAGGACTGAATGTTCATTTGCTGCCAGATATTACCCCACACACTGACAGGTGCCACTGTAATGAGATAATGAGTGTTATTCACTTCGCCTGATAGTGGTCACAATGTTATGGCTGATTGGTGTACATTTCTGTAGTAACAGTCTGGAAATAGATTTTATATGAAACTTTTTTATTATTATTAGAAAGCAAGTTTGTGCAAATAAACCTTTGAAAATAGGAGAGGAGAAACACAAACAGTCCGCATCAGAACATCCCTTAATCTAGTCACTCTTGGATCTCATGTGTTGTCTTTGTCTTGCGCCTGCTAGCTGCTGTGGGTCCGCCAAGCAAAGTGGAGACTGAACCTGCTGGAAGTGACCTGGATGTTTTCATCTTTGACCCTCTGACCAACAACAACACTTCCATGAAGGACCATCTTCCAAAGTTGTACTACCATATTCTTTACTGGGAACGCTCCATAGACAGCCAGGTAGGAAACGCCTGCCTGTGCATGCAGTATTGCACTGGACTAACCTTACTACAGCATCAAATTGTCTTTGGAACGGACTTTGAACTGCAATTTATTTTGACATAAATTACCCAATTGTTTGTATTAGAGGCCTTTTGCTACGTGGTGTCTTGTGTAAAAGCTTCATTCAGAAATGGCAAGACAGCCTTGCAGACATGTTACATTTAGCAGTTTCTTCTCTTCACACTTTCAATTTTTCTTTGGTTCCTAAAAACACCTGGCAAAACCCCTGAGACTCCATATTCAGCCCTGTTTGCAGTGCACCTGGTTTCAGTTTTGTATGCTTGGTTTATTGGTTTTGTTTTGCCATGTAAACATAGTAGAGGTGTTTCTGGTCTGTGCTACAAGATGGCTTAATTTTAAATAAGTACCTGAGCTTCTGTCTGGTGCCATAATTTCCTGCTAGCTGCTTTGTATCATGCAAGCAGGTCCGTTAAGTTTGACAAGGGAGTAGCAGATTGCTATGGGTTATCCTGAAATAACCTAGAGCCAATGCAGATCTGATGAGTATGTCAAATATTTGGGTGTAGGCCACATTACAAACAAAAGACAACAAATAGCCAGGGAAAAGAGTATCCATAATTGGAAGCTTTACTGCGAAATTGCTTAATTTTTATAAAGATTGTTCTTAAGGTCTAGTGTCATAGGGGCTTCAGGGACCAGTTAGTGTATGCCTTCAGAAGCACAGCTGTGGAGCAATATAGTGGAACAGGTTTTCTTCAGTGAACTCTCTGCATTTGGCTTTATTAATACCATGTCCCTTAATTCTGACCAGTCTCCCTGTCCGTGCTGCCCAAAGTGTTCAGTATTGGTCTCATCAGACTAGAGATTCTTTTTCTTTTAAATGCTCATTGACAACTCCAAACAGTTGTCTTATAGTGATGTTATGTGTGACACCCAAACGTTGAAGCTTGTGTTAAGCAGAGGGGGTATTCCCAAATGAAGCCTTGCTTCGAAGCTTGTATCGTTTCTCTAGTTGTCATGTGACCAATCACAAATGAGGCCTTGTTTTGGCCAGAATCACATGGACAGGGTCTGAATCTACCACCATGTGCCAGATGCAGTTTGGTTTAAAAATGTGCTCCATCTGTATTGGTTTTAACTGTACCTGTGTATGTAACTCAACCTGTTGGACTGAGTCCATTTAATATTTCATCTTGGGTACCTCTAGATTAGCTTTACACCCGTCAAGTTGCTTAAAGACCTTTTTATTTTCATTTGGCTTAAGGTGTTTTGCGAAAACACTTAGGTGCTGCCCTCCAGCACCTAATTCCAGCAGAATTTCAGAACTCCTACAACATTTAATTACCAGCATGTCCTTACAGAATCCCATCACATTATCTCGTTTTAAGTGTAGTGTACCGGTTCATAAATAAATGACAGGAAGTGGTAATGTTTAAATCTCACCTCCTCTGTCATGTGTCCTTTAGGCCTTAAGAACCCAGACGTTAAGAAGCAGTGCCAACATGGTGACACTACCAAACCTGAAGGCCTGGACATGGTATTGTGTGAGCATCCAGTCACGTGATGACTTCTATAACAAGAGCAGCAGCTTTACCTCACCCCAGTGTATGCAGACTGAAGGTAACTTACAGATGAGATCTACATTTGATGTTAGTGACAGTGAAGATTGTACCCTTTGACAGAAGTGATTCGGGGTTTGTGGAGGGTGGACTGTCTTCATTGGATTATATAGACTTTTGTTTTAAGACATAATTGTGATCAAGCTTGGTACTTGGCCTACCAAAATGAGTTCTTTAAGTTTAGGGCTGCAACTAACAACTATTTTAGCACTCAACTTATCTGTCAATTATTTCTTTGAATAATTGCATAGGTATTAAAAGATGAAGAAATCTGGGTGCCTGTGGGTCCTTAAAAAGTCTTAAAATACCTTAAATACACTTTGTAACAAATGGTCATGAAAAGTATTAAATTGTTTTAAATTCAGATTGCATGGGTCTTAAATGTTTGTCACACTGCATCATTAGAATAAGGCCTTGGTAGCCAGTGCCTGGAAATGCCTATGAAGCAAACTGTGCTGTATATCGAAGGTGTTTCAAACTTGGGACAAGGCAGTGGAATCGAACATGCAGAGCAAGAAGCTCAGAAGTATGCAAGAGCCCACCATCAGACTCCACCTGCCTATTTATGATTTACCCTTTTCACCGCTAGCAAGGATTTTATCATGGATGGTAGCTTGGGAAATCCAAGGCCAGCAATGCCATCATCTGACCTCCAAACATTCTGAGGTTCTACGTGAACAGTCATGGCAGAGGCCATTTGAGTGTTGAGGGGGTTGAAAAGCCTCCACTCGTACAGTTCAAAAGACGAGATTGAATTATATTGAATGTTCCAAGCCATGTTTACAGACTTGGGGCTTGTTCAGGAATTTACATGTGGAAAAGACCACACACAGTTACATGGCTAAAGCCACCTATATTCAAAAAGAACTTGGCACTGAAGTTAGCACATGGAATGCATAAACCTGACAATGAAAAGCAAACAACTGGACCTGCATGTCTGTCATTGGACAGATGATTATGTTTAGTCAAGACTCTGTGGATCCCAGTTCATGGACATGCAGTTGCCTAGGACCTAATTCAGCATTTTTAAGAAAGTTTGTTATAAATCAGTCAATTTATTGACTTGACTCTTGTATACATTAGTGTAAGCCCAACACAAGGTCTCATTAGCCAGGACAGAAATCATGTTTCTGTATGACTTAATTTGATTACCATTTTTTTCAGGGAACTTAATTTTGGTTCAGGGCTACATATCATATTTGGCATGACATGGTAAAAGCACTTTGGTTTGATTTGTACCAGAGACTTTATATAAAAGCAGACAATGTGACAGCTTCTATATTAATAGTACAGTGAAACCTTGGATTGCGAGTAACCCGGTCTGCGAGTGTTTTGCAAGATGAGCAAAAATTTTGATTCGATAAACGAGCGAGGTCTTGCAATACGAGTAGTACGTATACTTTGTCTACCGAGCGTCACGTCACAACTGAGCCGCTGGTTCTCATACCTCACTCATATAGTCAACATCTATGTTGCAACAATGGCCCCTCATGCCAGCCACGATTCTTTTCAAAGTGCAGGTTAATTTGTTTTATTTTTACTTTATACTGTATTTTGTATTACTGTAATCGTTTTTGTATGAATAAGTGGTTGTGGAACGAATCATCTGAGTTTCCATTATGGGGAAATTCGCGTTGATATACAAGTGCTTTGGATTACGAGCATGTTGCTGGAATGAATTATACTCGCACTCAAAGGTTTCACTGTATTTTCAACAATGCCCATAATAAAACCAACAGTGAAATTCCTGTGTTCATGGCTAATGTCTGTCAGTCTCCAACATGGTTTTGCTGATTTGTCTGTGCCATAGACATGCGCAAGGTCTCCATGTGAGTGGAAGGAGCTAGCGGACTGTAGACAAAACAGAGCTTGCACTGTTGACTGGTTAGCTGGAGAGCCAGACCCCAAAACTAGGTGTGCTGCACTCTTCACATTTGTTTAACCTCCTCTGTGAGAGTATAAACTGCTCCACAAAAGAGGTGTGGCTTGCAGCCACTGTCCATGCTACAAATGTATTTTTTCATTCATTCATTGATTAGTGTGAGTTCATTGTCCTGTTCCTGTTAGCCACCAAGTTAAGTAAATGCGTTTGCTTACTGGTCATTAACGAGCTCACTAGGGAATCTCTGTGAGCTATTGTAACTCACTAATGCTGCTAGTTAGCTCTCCAGCCACAGTATTTTCCAGGCTTGTCTCCCAATATGTATCTGAAATTTTATTACCCATTTCCTGCTCCCATTTAGACTTTATTGGAGAGGTGCTTGCTGGACTCAGAGACATCAGGCTTGAGTAGATTCAAGAGATTAATTTCTCCGTATGTGGTGGAAGCTGAAGGCATTCATCTAAACCGGAGCTCTTAAAGGTCTCAAACTTATGTACGTGTTTTCTAATATAATTGCCAGGGCATTGAAAGTGGGTCGTGGTTGGGTATTCCAGCATGACAATGATCCAAAACACACAGCCAAGGCAACAAAGGATTGCCTCAAGAAGAAGCATATTAAGGTCATGGAGTGGCCTAGTCAGTCTCCAGACCTTAATCCCATAGAAAATCTGTGGAGGGAGCTGAAGGTTCGAGTTGCCAAACATCAGCCACAAAACATTAATGACTTGGAGAGGATCTGCAAAGAGGAGTGGGTCAAAATCCCCCCCGAGATGTGTGCAAACCTTGTGGCCAACTACAAGAAACGTCTGACCTCTGTGATTGCCAACAAAGGTTTTGCCACCAAGTACTAAAGCACGTTTTGCAAAGGAATCAAATACTTATTCCATTCATGAAAATGCAAAATACTTTATAACTTGTTTTGTAATGCATTTTTCTGGATTTTTTTTTTGTTATTGTTGTGTCTCTCACTGTTCACATAAACCTAACATTGAAATTGTAGACTGATCATTTCTTTGTTAGTGGGCAAACTTACAAAATCAGCTGGGGTTCAAATAATTTTTTCCCTGACTGTATATGCCCACATAAGTGTATATAGGTGAAACCAGATGCGAAAACTGACTAGGCTCAAATGTGATCTGTTCATGTGCTTCACACGTGTGTTTATATACTTTTAACAGGTAACACTCCATGGTGGCAGATCTTTCTGTATTTCCTGGGCTCTCTGGTGTTGTGTTTCCTGGTCATGCTGCTGTCACTGTATACCTCGTTTTGGTGTTACAGGACCCTGAAGGCAACATTGTACCCCTCCATTCAGCTGCATGCACACTTCATGGAGGTATGCACGCATACCATGCCACAGTTTTACTTTTTCTCATTGCTTTGGCTGTGCAGACAGCAGGCATTCACTTAATGTTTACATTAGGGCTGTAAAACACATACCCGATTACCACTGAACACATTAACTGGTAAGCCTGAGCGCATTAAACAAACAGTGTCTTATAGACCCCGTTGCAGCTCCCAATCAGAAGACCTTAATGATAAGGCAGGGTCTTCTAGCTCTGGCTTCTCGTTTGTGTTAATAAATTGCCTTAATATGTGCACATGGAACGCGGATTTGAAAAAAAAAAAGTTTTGCTCGCAAAGCAAGCTTACTGTTAACTAATATTAAAGATTGCATATGGTACACATCTGCCCTGTACCTAAGTTCTGTACTGAACTGTTTGATATGAATACATGTACCGTTACACCCCTAGTTTACATAAGGGAAAATAGTATTTTATCATAAACTGAATTTTATTGACATAGGGTTGGCCAAATGATGTTGGTAAAATAACATATAGCTAACCTATAGATAAAGAAGCTAGACTCCTTGTTTGAGTAATACAACTTTATTTACTCACCTCCAGGTCCCACTGCAAAATGTGTTGATTTTGTCTTATCATCCACAATTTATCTTTTTATGTTTTAAACTGTGCAAAACACAGCACACACAAGCGCTACTGTTTGACAAATGTCCAGCACCATATTTCTTTTATTCTGAAATCACATTTGATCACATGAGTTTCTGCAAGATCCCTGGTCCCCGAAATCGACTTCTCTGAAAGTGTTTAGTAAAAACCACGTGTATGTGTAGTCCTGCCTTTTGAGTTAATCATCTAGCATGTGTGCTCTTAAGATTAAAATGTGAAAAAAAATCTGTTAAAGCTGTCATTATGTCTGTGGTCTCATGTTTTCAAAATGGGTTAAGATTATAAAATCCTGTAGAGCGAGTCTGAAGTTTCTGTTCAGTTCTACCAGTGTATCTCATCTCAGTCTCTCTTCTGTCCTCCTTTCCTTTGTGTTTGCTCCAGTATCTTTGTGACTCTTCTGGCTCTGCTATTCCTCACCTCCTCACCCCGGATGCAGAATCAGAGCTGCTGTGTGACAAGGTGACCGTCTGTGCAGAGCCAGCAGTCCTAGAAATCCACAGCCCTCCTCCTGGGGCCCTGCTAGCTCCCCCATCAGGCCTAGATCCAGACGTCAGGTTGTTTTTAATTTCTGATGCTACACCTGTTCATGCAATGTGTTCTTGTTTACAAAGTGCATTTAATAAGAAATTATATGTATTTATGTCATACCGGTTGAGCTTCAGAACAAGACAGCACTGCAGAAAAAAACAATAAATAAAAAGAAAATGTACCCTCTCCTTGTTGTTTCCGGTGGTAGACACAGTCGTCAAGACAGCGACAGCAGTGGAGACTCCGGAGTGTACTCCACAGGGGGCAGCTCCAGCCTGCAGCAGCCCAACAGCAGTCAATCCTCCACAGGGGCCAAAGACGTCTGGTTGGGCCCCTTTGACCTGGAGCAGGTAAAACTGCAGCAGATGGCTCCAGGACTCAAGAGTCAGCGTCTGATCGCAGATGAGGGCATTGTAGACGTGCGTGTCTGAAGATGTACAGGAAAAGACACTGGTTGAGAAGCTCATGAAACAAGGATGGTGTTAAAGAAGACAGATATGTGTCCAATGTACAGTGTGCATTTTCTCCAGCTGCCACTGTGAAACAGAGTGGAGGGTGCCATTAAAATAAATGGTATGATACAAGACAGAAAAAACGAGATCACAAGTGACGGACTGACACAAGGAACAACCCTGGTCTGCTCTGGTGTCACGATGTGTTTCCGACTTTCAAGGAAGAAGGGTGTTGTCATTCTGAAGACAACGCACTTTAGTCTTGGCCTATCTCTTAAAATTGTGGATCCTTGTGTGACCAATCTGTTGTATGTTCCCTTCACCTGGTCTCCAGCAGCCACTGTCTTAACCCTCTTGTTCATGTTGTGACTGCTGCTCTAAGTCACTGTGGCTGAGAGTAAATCTTTGTAGCAAGTAGTGTTTTTTTATCTCTTTTACTGTCACGTGGCTTAAATGATAGAACATGAATAATTTACAGCAGCTGATTAGGTAGCAGTAATTAATGGGTGGGTCTGTTCTCAAATCAAGGTGATGTTGCAGACAAGTCCAAATCTTTGAGCCTCGAGTCTATTTTGCTTTTATAGTGTAGTGTAGTGAATGTTCACGAAACAAAGGCACTGCAAAACAACTGAGCAGTTTATTAGGGACACCTAATTAAAGCTAGTATAACCCAATTGTCTTGCATTAAATCCTCCTCCATGAAGATAATGCTCAGTTTTTGGTTGGAACTGTATAAAGGAGGTCTGAATTGTTGAATTGTAAAGGAGGTCAGAATTGTTGGCCGTTGCAATGCAACAGGCAACAATTGTTGAATTGTTGGCCGTTGCAATGCAAGGAGGTCTGAATTGTTGAATTGTAAAGGAGGTCAGAATTGTTGGCCGTTGCAATGCAACAGGCAACAATTGTTGGCCGTTGCATTGCAACAGGCAACAATTCTGTCATTTCTCCTGAACTTACCAGGTCACACTCTCTCTACCTCATTAACCACATTAGAGCCAGTATGATTTGGGCCAGACTTTGGTTCTTGGTCGGGCATTTTTTACTAGATGCAATGTGGACCTGTGAGGACGTCTGCTGTAGAGGCCAATTTGGTAACTGTTGGACTTGTAGCAGCCTGGGACCAGAATTGTAACACAGGAAGCTACCTACCAAGGTATTTTTCTCCAGTCATGTGTGTAGGCAGTTATTCAGTTCAGCCAGCGGAAGACTGTAATGGTCATGTGTTATGGACAGTGTGAGAGAATTTTTCTGTTTATGAAACTGCCTGGGCTCCTTATCTATTGCTAAACTGGCAGCCAGACAGTGAAGGGTTGTTGGGCCAAGCTTGTTGACTGTTTGGGTCATTGTTCTACAGGAAAGCAATTGACTTGTTCTAGCCTGCTGATAATGCTGCTCAAGTTGGAACAAGTGGTCGCAGATCCTTCTCTGTGACAAATGTCACTGTATGGAAAGCAAACAACACACAAGTATGTGCTTTCACAGTATAAATGTTTAGTTTGAATAATGCAGCTCCTTTTCTAAAATCCCACTCATAAGCTGCATTTCCACCAGTGGAACTTTCCCTGGGCATCAAGAACCTTTTGTGGAAATTAGTTTCTCTACCTGTTTTTCCACTGGAGGATCCAGGGCCTAAATTTAGTCCCGAGGTGTCATTCTCCCGACGATGAAAGTATCTAGTCTGGGGGTAGTCTTTTCTGAAGGTCTAAGAACAATCAGCGGGTTTAAGTTTATAGCGCTGCAGAGTGGAACATCACAGACTGGTCAAATACAGGGCTGTACAGCACGAACATTACACTCACTGAAGTGAGTAGAAATTTGTGTGTGCCAATGTGAAAAATGTTTTAGGTGCACTGATGGAACAGACTCCACATTACTTGGGTTTTCGGTTTGCAAGGAGTGTGTGATTCCATTCACTTCCTGGTCCAAACCTCTCCAGACCCAAATGGTGAAGCCTGTCGCGCCCCCCCCGTTTCATGCTTTTTTTGTGTAAAATAATTGCAATTCTAATTTTGCTTGTTGACAAAAACCTAATAAATAAATAGTGAGGCATGTCTGGGACTAAAACAATCTGTACATGGTCTTTCAGCTCAGAGTTGTCAGCGTCACCGTTTTACCTGACAGCAAAATAACCAAATTAGACCAAACCACACATGTCATAGTAAATGTATTCATATAGTGTTGTGTCCAGCTCATTTTTAATAGTTCCTGGCTTTTACCATTACTTTCATCAGTGTAAAATGCATCAGTATAGTGTTTACATTAACTTCATGCTAACTAGCTAGCTACATTACAAAGCAGCAAAACAGCACACTTTTAGAAGTTTTACGACATTAATTTAAGAATACCGAGACTTATCTAATCTACTTTTCATTGCAAGAAAACCGGTAAAAATAGCTGATCTATTTTTGATTCAGGTCTAATGAAACAATGGGCAGCACAACACTGCAGAACCCAGAAGAACAAACCAAGGTTTGGACCAAGAAATGGAATCTTATACTACTTAATTAGCGGATAGATCATAAATCCCACCTTCTCTGTGTTAGTGGATGTTACCTGAGCCAAACTACAAATTCAAAGTACAGATCAAATAAATTTTTCCCAGAGGTGATTTCTGTAGTACTTGGTAGATAATATCATACCAATGTGTGTACATGTGGTCATTTTTCTGATAATTGTATTTAATAAGTTATTAGATTATATGAAACTTGGTGTATTTTGATTGGCTGTGTGATGCTGTCACTCCACTTCTGGTCTGTTTGTGAAATAGCAAGATGGCAGCCACTGTACTTGGGCTTCACTTTTGCATAGTGGAGGGAAGTGGTGATGCAGTGTCCATCATACATGAGTCAAGGGTCTAGGTTTTCTGTATTAAAGTCCTGTAAATAAACTGTATGCCTCGGGCAGTGCTGGACATTGCCAGGTTAGGGTTAGACCTACTTACAGATTTGAAATTGTCCTGTTTAACATTTAACTGAAATATCACATTTTGGTTAGACAGAAGAATTTGGACGGAGAAATCCACTTTAAACAAAGTAGTCTGGGCTAAAAAGGGATTTCTGTTCATAGTCGTTGGTCTATCTCAGCTACTTGTTAAAATGTCTGTGTAAAATGAAACATCTTCTGCAAACAGTTCTGTTGTGTTTGTATCAAAAACAAAAGAAAGGATCATTTTTATTTCTCTCATTTCCTGTATTTGAATATATTCAGTGTAAATTAATCCCAGAGGGAAAAAGTCGGTTATAAAAGCTAATGTTTTCTTTGTGTGTGTGTCTGACAAAGCTTATTACTTTTAACAGAGTATAACATTTTTATTTTTCCTTTTATAATACTTGTATAATCTTGGTGCCATATTAGTTCTGTATGACTTATTTTGTATGTATTTTTAATTGGAGCTTTACGAGTTCTACTTCTCTTCATGGAGAAACAGTTGTCACAGAACGTGCATCTGCAGACTTGCAGTATAGAGCCACAATTCTTATTATATGTTCACATCTCAGTTTTACCTCTTCATTTATGTACATCACTTTTCCTGTGACTTCATTTTCAGCAGAAATGGAAAGAAGCTTTGCAGATTTACTTTGTGAAGGGAGGAGGGTTACCTCTGCTTTAAGTACTTGTATAGTTATTTTGAAAAAAAAATTTCATCTGCTTTGTAACAATTAATACAGTTGCCTTTTCCTGAATCTGCAGTGAAAGGGTGTATAGGTGGCATTTAGAGGCAGCGAGTGTTGTAAGGAGAAACAAAAAAATAGCAACAAATCAAACTCATCTGCAAGTAGAATGTAGTAACATCAACATATTGGGGCAACTGTGGCTCAAGAGGTAAAGAAGTTGTCCCCTAACAAAAAGGTCAGCAGTTCAATTCCCGTTCTCCACATGTTGAAGTTTCCTTAGGCAAGACACTGAACCCCAAGTTGCTCCCAATGGCCAGAGCAGCACTTTGCAGGGACAGTGCTGCCATCAGGCAGTACTGGACAGACATTTATGAAACTGAACAGTCTTTGAGAGTTTGTAGAAAACTTAAGTCAACATTGTGATTTATATTCCACAAGCATGATAAAATCGAATTTCTTTATATAGCCAGCGTTGACCAGAGTGCTTCATGTTAAGTCAAAGGAAAACCACAATTCACACAAAACGAAGTGGATAAAAGAATATACACCAATCTAAAAGATGTCAGAGCTCTACTTGTTGTAAACTACCAAAAGGATTAATTGAGTCTTTAACTTTGTTTTAAAAAGTGCTTGGTCAGAAATGGATTGGCTGTCTGGTTGTAAGGCATTACACAGTTTGGGAGCAACCACAGCAGACACCCTGTTACCCCATCATTTGCACCTTGATCTCAGGACATCCAAAAGAAATTGGCAGGAGGATGTGAGATCTCTACAGTGTATACAGTTGTATAAAAGTTCAGCCAAATATGATGGAGCTTTACCACTGAGGATATTAAAAACAAAAGTTTTAAAATCAGTCCTACAACACACCAGAAGCCAAAGGGGTGACTGCAGTTTTCTGAACCACTTTGACTTGACAGAATTTCTGACCTGCATTGCCTCTACATCTTGCATTATCTATTGAAATTGTATACAAGCCTGTTAAGAAGTGAGCGCACCTATTGTACTTACAGCACCCCTGTTAATGGACAATCCTAAAACTGAAATAAATCACCTCTAACATCAAAGCTTGGTGTTGAAATCTCCATGTGTGTTCTCATATACTGTATGCACACTAGGCACCAGGCTGTTGACACTTTACCCAGAGTAGCCCTGCTACTGTGGTTTTCATTATTGATTCACCTTGTTTGGGAAAATGCCCATCATGATTTACAGTCCAAGATGACAATAGTTTTTTGTAGATGTTGTTTAGATATAACTCTCAAAACCTGGTTAGACGAAACCAAAACTGATGTATTTGCATGGCTAGGCAAGTACAACCCACTTACAAGTGGTAAGTACAAACATTAGCTCACTATGATTTTGGGTGAACAGATCCTTTAATATTTTAGTTTCAATGTTGTTAGGTCAGTATTTTTTAATCATAAGAGTAAACTTTAAAACGATCATCAGGAACAGGAACTGATGATGAAGAAACAACAGCTGACAGCGGGTGTGCCAGCTGATTATTTAGATGTAGCAATTAAACTGGTTATGTCAGAAGTTTGCACAACACAAACAATGCTCAATTGATGGTGTGAAATCTCAAACCGTGTAGGCATGTGATATCAGCCAGGCCAGGAAAATACTGCCATTCATTCCCTCTATTCTCATTACTAGTATTTCTGACAGTACTACCACTTTCTAATCCTACTAACACTTATAACATTAACACATTAGATTGCCCTTCTTGGTAGAATGTTTATTTCTTCCTTTTTCATCCTTATTTCCTTTCCTCTAATTTTTATTCCCTTTCCTACTTCCTGCCTCCTTTCTTTATTCCCTTCCTTCCTTTCACTTATTTATACACACAAACACACTAAATATGATACTACTCTGCCACCCAAAAGATGAGTATTGGTCTATGGGACAGAATCTTTCTGGCTCCTTGATGAATATGATTTAGCATGTAAGACTTTGTTGGATGTTTTAAGACTGTTTTGGGGCAATGGAGGCAACACCAGTTTACACCAGTTTCAACTCTACAAGTGGAAATGGGTGAAATGTCAAAGAAGTGTATTACTGGTGAATGTGGGTTATATACAGTGGGGCATGCTTTTTGAGTTGTCCAAGGTTAGGGCAGGAGAGGGAGTTATTTCAAAATACACTTCAAAGTAATGGCATGAGATTTAATTTACAAGAGATGTTACAAAAATGTTTTTAAAGGGTACTAGACTGAATAAAATAATATAGCATCAATTGAGTGGGATTATTTTATTATAGCACTAGTAGATGCTATAATCTCCACACTCGTGGTGTGGAGATGTACGGACTGTTTATAAGCACTGTTCGGCAGACGTAGACTTTTTATTGCTGAAATGCCGGCCCTATTACCCAGCAAGAGAGCATAGTACTGTGTTTCTGGCTGCTGTGTATGTTAGCCCAAGAGCTAATCCCTCTGCGTCTCTCAGCAAACTCTAATAAAGATGTCTGGAGACCGGAGAGTAGCTTCAAAGAATTCTTTATTTCATGCAGCATGGAGAGAAGTCATACACAGCTTTGCAGTTGCACAGAGTTCTCCGATTAACTGATAAAGGGGCAGTCCCTTTATACCAAAGTGATACAATACACATCAATGAAACTCATAAAATTATCTCACATCTAACAACTCGCATACCTTCTCCAGCTACCATTGAACGAGACCTTGAAACTTGGTGAGATCTCCACACTCCCTTTTATTCTTGCAATACACATTCATGGTGTTCTGTAAATGAATTTTGCTTGCAATACTTGAACTATGCAAACTTAACTGATAAGCTGTTCAAAATTAATTAAAGCCGACCGATAAGCAGTGCAAAATGATTACAGGTCCTGGGACCATTAGATTTGCAAGTTTCACATTGTGTCCTTAAAAAAAAATCATCAGTTTCTGTGTGAAGTGACCTTTTAACATTATGATGTACTTCAACATTATGATGTCTGCTATGCTAACATCCACAGCGTGCTAGAGACAGCTCACCCCGATGCTGTATTTATCGCTGCAGGCGACTTTAACCAGTGCAATTTACAGACTGTACTTCCCAAATATTACCAACATGTGAACATTCCCACTCGGGGCAAGAGCACTCTGGATCATGTTTACAGTAACATACGTGGTGCATACAGGGCTGCACCCCGCCCCCACCTTGGACGCTCAGACCACATTTCTTTGTTCCTGTATCCAGCTTACAGACAAAGACTGAAACAAACAAACCCTGCCACCAAACAAATTAAACTCTGGACCCC